CGACCTAGTAACGGTTTGGAGTTTCACGGGCGCCGACGGGTTTGGCCGAGCTGCTCATAATCTGCTGCACTATACCCCCGGGTACAAGAAGTTCTCACAGCTTCCTCAACCTTTCGAGCCTTCGCAGTGGTCAGAGCTCTTTGATATGGCGGCGAGGCTAGAGGTCGAGCAGAACTTGGAGGAAGACCCGGATCGGGCTTCAGAGGGAGAGGTAGAGGGAGTTGCTGAGGAGGTCGGGGTCAGAGAGGACGTTGCTCCTTCGGACGCCGAGGTGGGGACTTCGGGAGGCGACTTGTGGCCCGATTTTCAAATTCTCCAATCTTTGGACGCCGAAGACGCTCTCGAGGAAGCGATGTCCAACGCCCCTCGCATTAATTTGGGGTTTCTTAGGCAGAGGCAATCCCTCGCGGCCGGGAGAGGTCGAGGGACGGCCGGCGGTACTCCGGCAGGAACCAGCTCTGCCCCATCATCAAGGGTTCCTGATCGGGGTCAGGTGCGAGATCGGGACCCTCAGGTGGAGGAGGAGAGGAGGGTGAAGCATCGGCACGATGGCCTCAGCCGAGGACCCAGGGTGCCTCCCGCTCAGCAGCAAAGCGGGAGGGATCGTGGATTACCCTCTACTCCCTCACAACCGCAGCAACCGCAGCAGCAAACTCGACAACAGCAGCAACTACAGCAGCCCCGACAACAGCAGCAACAGCAGCAGCAGCAACAACAGCAACAGGCTACTCCTTCCCTCCCATCCACAGTGGAGGCCGCGGTGTGGAATCCTCGGGCCACTGATCACATGAACCGAGTGATCAGGGTCGACGATTCCATTCTGCAGGATCCCCATGTCGCCCATGCAGTGAGTGAGACATTGCATTTTGAGGCTGACATGGAGGCTCATCGGGGGCGATCAACCAACGTGTTGTTCCGCTCCATGATCCAGAACTCCCTGGTGGTGAGTTTATTTTTGCTTTGGTTCCTTCACTCTCGTTTTCTATTTTTGTGTTTTAATACTCTTTCCTTCCTTTACAGGCTACCCAGCAGATTTCTATCATTGCTGGCCGGTACTACGCGTCCAGGATGGACCTTCAGAGGGCCAAGGATCAGAAGGCGGAAGCGGAAGCTGCCCTTGCTCGGGCAACGGAAGATGTTGCTGCCAGGGATTCTACCCTGGTGGGGCAGGCTGCCCAAATAGAGCAGCTCCTCAAGGACGCTGAATCGGCCAAGT